TCAATTCGATAATTTACACATAATATTAATAAGCATATTTAGTAAAGATAATATAATAAAGTACATTTTTTCCCTAGCTATGTAAGGTACACCAATTGTATAGGCATGCATAAATATTGTTTTAATAATAATAATATATTCCCTCCTGTTTATGCAGGAACATACCTATTGTACAGGCATGGATAAGTTATTATATAAATTACACATAGTTTGTTGTATGATGAATTTACAGTTTGGTTGTTCTCTCTGACATTAGAGTCAGTCGGAACAGTCTGCTATAAAGTCTGTTTGTGTAGCACATGAAAAGATATAGAAATATTGTCTTCGCATTAACAAAAAACCCAGACATCACTTGAATGTAATACAGATATATGGGAAAAATAAAGCTTGAAGTCAATTCTCTTATATAACTTTGTTGTGAACAGCACATTTGGCTTAAAGATTATTGATGTATTATGTTGAGATCAGTGATATATTTATTCCATTTTTCAGCAGTCTTATCGTAGTTTCATAACAGGAAAGTAATTTGATCGTGGAGGCGAAAACTAGATGAGGTCATGTGAAGTTGTTTTACTGCATCAAATGGTGCCGAGGTCGATTCCAGAATTCTCCATTTGCTCCATTTGTGTCTGCATGGCGGACTGTACTCGTAAGTTGAGTAAAATGTTGAAAACCAGTTGCTTCTTTATTTCAGATCATGAATACTCATTTACATCGTGTCTGCCAGCTTCTCTAAATGGTAGAATTGGATCGTTCCTGGAATTTGAGTGATTATGGGATAAATGGTTTGGAATTAATCATAGCAGTTAGAATACAGTTAAACATGCAGAGAAGTACTTTTGATTCAGCAACCGGTGAATTTTTTATTCTTTTCGATCTAGTACCAGAATAACTGCGAACCATTCCATTCAATATGTCGAATAAGGCACGCAGGAGGAGATCATTACCATGGAATGAGTCAACTTGATCTGAGATGCAGCTTTCAGCATGTTTTCGTTATACCATAGATATCCAGGTTTATTGGCGCTGTAGAGGCAGTGATTTGGATTATGACGTATTCTACAAAGTCTCCGTGCCCATTTGAAGTATACATGTGCTTTGAAAGGATTACTTTGTTTGCTCTGGGTTTTTTTAATGCGAAGACAATATTTCAATATTTCTTTATGTGCTACACAAACAGACTTTATAGCAGACTGTTCCGACTGACTCGCATGTCAGAGAGAACAACACAACTGTAAATTCATCATACATCAAATTATGTGTAATTTATATAATAACTTATCCATGCCTGTACCATTGGTATGTTCCTGCGTAAACAGGAAGAAATACATTATTATACTTGTCTAAAGAAGACATGCAGGCACCAGGAAACACAAACAGAAACTGTCAGCAAACTTTCATAAACTGTCAATGTCCAGCTCTAACTAGGCTGGACCTCTTGCTGTCCCTCGAAGACTTTCAGAGTCACTTTGTATTGACCAACGCGGAAAACCAGAACAAAGATTGGCGACTCGAGAATCCTTTATTTTTACACCAACACGTAACCATCAATAAGGTAATTACACAAGGTCTCAGAATAAATGTTATAACAATAAATCACGATAGTGCTTCTGATAGTATTCGAACTTCACTGAACAGCGAACTACAAGACGATGACACTTAACCGCCTCAAATAATTTCCTTACAATCACCGATGTTCTTTCCAATCTTTGACGAAGTGTATTCCTGGCCTCAGAGTATCCCTCATTAGGCGGCATGAGCTTACAGCACTGTATAGCTCTTGAAGCATCTTCAGTGCAATACCTCATCAAATACATCAATTTCAATTCATCACTTAATAAAAAACTACTCAGCATGATCTCAAACTCCTCTACAAATTGTAAATAACCAGCCGGGTTTCAATCGAAACACCGTGGTTCAAATTTAGGGAGTTTGATGTTCCTGTTATCCCTGAACGGCGAAACAGTAACATCAACCATGTCATGCTTAACATCAGACACATCGTTACAAGTAACAGACAAGTCACCACGACTTACTTTCCTGTTTGCATCCAAGACACTCTGACCCTTCTTTGACCCAGGCATTGTTGAACTTGACCAAATTCCAAAAAAGTTCCAGATATTGCTTGTTCGAAGAGGACTTGACCGGCACCAGGAAAGATGAACGGTGACTATCCAAACTTTCACCAACTGTCCGAATCCGTCAGAAACTGTTTCAACTGTCAGGAACTGTCAGCCACGTCTCGTAAACCGTCAATGCCCAGCTCTTGCTACGCTGGGACTCATGCTAATCCTCATAGCTTCTCAAAAACGCTTAGTAATAACGGACGCAAAAACCAAAACACCGATTGGCTACTCGAGAATTCTTTATTGTAACACCAACATATAGTCAACTTTAAAATTATGCTTCAAAACTAAGGTCTATGAACAATTATTACAATAATAAATCACAAGATTACTTCTGACGGTTTGTCCCGACTTCTTTCTGAACAGCGACCGATGAGACGATGACTGGTGTATTGATGCCTCCGCAAATTTCGGGAAGTTGGTTTTCAGCAAACAACCATGAATTGATCGTTCAATATTCAACTACATTGACACCAATAGTGTCTAACGATGCAAAATTCTCAAAGTCTGTTCTCAATGTAGTTGAAGATTGAACGATCAATCCAACTACAAGATGACTCCAAGGCACTCTCTGAGGTTTTGTATAGTCTGATGAATTATAAGAATCCCCTGATTTCAACGAATTGCATGAGTGATTTGAACTCAAGCTCGGTCTTAGAGTTAATAGCAAGACGCATACCTACTCGACTGCAAAGGAAGTGGGTGAAGATTAGCTCTCGTATAGAAGATGATTGTATCAAGCCAAAGTTCGATGACATTCTGAAACTGATAAGTATTAGTGTCAATCAATCTATGAGCAAGTTTGCCGGTATATTGAATCTCACCCCTAGAGTAGTGGAGTCTGAGGGTAAAACGCAAGCATTGATGATGAAATGGTCACAGAGAGGTGGATATCGAGAAGGCTCCATGATGTCTAGCAATGCATATAGACCTAGTGAGTGTAACAGGTTTCGTAGTACCTCATCAACAGATAAGTTACAAGATGCAAGACAAACATGGTTGTGTTTTACACGTTTGCAAAAAGTTCATACAATGATGAACTGTGAATCAGTGACCAAGTTTAATCATAAGCTAAATGTGAAATCAACGTCTGACTCAAAATTGTGTGACGATAACGGTGTGATCAAGAAGTCTGTGGATGCAACTGGTAAGCAATTGTTGAATAGAGTGTCACAGAGGAAAGTAGCAGTCTAAGAGGACAGTTCTGACTTCACAAGTTTACAAGGTATTACTCGTTAGAGTGAAGGTTTAAAACATTTAATGATTTGTGAGGAGAAAACAAAAGTGTCTACTTCTGTTAGTAAGTAGTTCGAAAATGGTGAAATTGACGGTAAAGTGAATATTCGTGATATTCACCATGATAATTCACATTTCCCTTTGGTTGATCATGATGAGATGAAGGATATGCCTTCTACTGCTAAGTTGAATAAAGTTTCTGTACAACTACAACGCGAAGTAGAATTAAATGCAGATGCAGTTGCAGAAGGCATACATACTTGTGAGACCGTCAGTGTGATTGATCAGAGTAAAGTCCACCTATCATCAGATGATAGTGCTAAACCCGAACTAGTAGTGAAAGACAGCAGTGGTGGTAATCTTGCAGTTAGACAACTATCTGAAAGCCGAATAACAACAGCTTCTGATCCACCGCTAAGTTCATCAACCTGTGTCACTCAGTCGTCGTTGGTGTTATCATCCACAATGAGAAGGACGCCCATCAACTCAAGTATCTTGTGCAATGACTATGATAGTATTGGTGCATTGGAAAAGACGAAAGATATTGGTCAGTTTAATGAGGATAAGCCAAGTGTGTACGAGAGGGTAATTGTTAAAATGGGTTGCACGAATTAAGGCCTTCCAGGTTTCAATTTACTATTTGAATGCTATTATCTTCGGTGTAAATTACTCTATGCCTACGCTTGGTTGGTCAGATACGTCGTGTGTTTGTTACCTATCTACATTAAATAAATAAATAATTGTATATTCTCGTTTTGTACATGAGGGAAGCCAGTTTACAGGCATCATCAGTCTGATGCGATACAATCTACGGTACAATCACATGGGTGTGTCACCGTTCAGAGTTGAGGATATGGACGATAGAACGAGATCACGAAATGAAATCTGCGACGATTTTCCAACCTAGGGTGTCAACCTGAGAAGGGTTGTAGGCGTACTGCTGTAAGTCCTGCAGTTCTTCGAGGGTAGTACGTCGAAGCTAAGTCCATCGTAACTGGTGTTTTATTTTGTACATATGTTCATATTGTATATACTGAATTGATATCATTTTTCATCTGTCTGTTGGTAAATTTGTTTGTGTCTGGACGTCTTTCACTCGGATCATCAACCTGAGAAGTAATCTAGGGGTAATGCTGTAAGTCCTATCGCCAAACAAGTCTCGTAAACCGTCAATGCCAGCTCTTGCTACGCTGGGACTCATGCTAATCCTCATAGCTTCTCAAAAACGCTTAGTAATAACGGACGCAAAAACCAAAACACCGATTGGCTACTCGAGAATTCTTTATTGTAACACCAACATATAGTCAACTTTAAAATTATGCTTCAAAACTAAGGTCTATGAACAATTATTACAATAATAAATCACAAGATTACTTCTGACGGTTTGTCCCGACTTCTTTCTGAACAGCGACCGATGAGACGATGACTGGTGTATTGATGCCTCCGCGAAAATCAGCTTCATAATCCCTACTTTCATCTAGTCAGATGACTAATCTTTTTCCAAACTAATACTAGGGATGTCTTTGAAGTGCTACATGTGATATCATATATATTTCATCTTCTTGTACACATATATGAATATTACCCTACGTAGGTTGATCCTGATCAATGATATTACTTTTTGATAAATATCTTTACCCAAATATTCAACAACAGTGAGCTAGTTTGAGTCTTATCAATAAAGCACGCCGTATTTTTCAAAACAGCGTAACGACTGCTTTAAATATACCGCCTAATGTGTCCAATATCCAATATCGTTTTTACGAGCTAGTATAAACCAATCTGGTTTCTTTGTGCTCGCTTCTTGATTGTAAGGTATAGGTTCCTGATCTTCGGTAAACTTCTGCGTAGCTCGTCCCGCCACTCGACTGTCGTAGCTTTGGTTGACTCTAAAGGGAGTAGTGCTAGGATTAATTATATGTGGTTCGTAGTATGAGGTGTGTTAAGAATGTCACTACTGTGAATAAAGTTGATCCTTTCGCCAGTTAGTCCTCCGGTATCTTCGACAAGAGAAAAGAGATGATAATAATAGATATAATTAGTGAAGTTATTCAGACTAAGAGACAGAAACGGAAATAGGAAAATGTAACAACAGTCAGCTGATTAAATTTGAAGAATAATGCATATATATATATATATGTATATATCGTAATAATGATAATAATAGCAAGTGCAGTTAAAGTTGTCAGGAGATTAAGACGGGAGGGAATGTAAAGAAGTAAAACGACGAGTTCAATTGTCTACCCTGAATGGTGTATGCGATTTTAAGGGGATAGGCCATTTGGACGCAGTCCTTGTGTCGCCGCATGGTTGTCCAGCCTTCTCTTAAAGGCGTCCAATGACGGTACCATAGGTACCTCTGCCGGCAAGGAATTCCATGGACGGCAAACCTGCAATGAAAAGAAGTGGGAGCGCATCCGTGTCCTTGCCCTCAGGTGAGCTATCCTTCTGGGATTTCCAAGTGGGAGCCTATACCTACTCAGTGGCAGAACACCTTTGTTTGGGTGATTCTTATCATTTGTTATTTTGTAGGCAGTAATCAAATGTCCCCTAAGCCGATGGTAGCTAGGTGTGAACAGTCCTAATTTCTTCAGCCTTTCATCATATGGTTTATTTCGGAGACCAACCACTCCTTTTGTTGCCCGTCGTTGGACTCTTTCCAATAGGTTGGCGTCTCTCCAAGCATAGAGGGTGCAGTAATATTATACAACTCAGGGCGTGGCCTGACGTATGTTTTGTACAACCTTAGGAAGAGCTCAGGAGTGAGTGCACCTAACTGTCTATGTGTAAAGTGTACGATCGCATATGCTCTCGCTACATCACATTTCTTGTAATATCGCTCACTCAACGAGCACTTGTCAGTGTTATTGGTTGTCTCTAAGTCCTTAACAGATTTCGATTCTGTAGATATAAGTTCTTGCCGGCTGCACATGTGCTTAACACGGTGAGCCACTAAGGGTCCCGATATCTAGTTTCTGAGATATCTTTTAAGGCTGTAATATTGACCTATGCGTGAGGTGTTTTCAAAGATGTGCTTTTAAACTAGAGACTGACACTCCAGCGTCATCCATACACACTAGTCAGCAAAGAGAACCTCTTTCACCTCGAAGTTGTACGGCTAATTAGAAGGGTCCTATATTCTAGGTATATTGACAGCAGAGGTCAGAACTTACTGACATTTGGTAACAGACAATATCAAAGCGCGTGAATAATATTCGGGAAGACAAGTATTAACTGTAGAATAAATCTTACGTAGTCCGCTTAGCTTTTGCGCCTTACTCTCAAACCTTTTTATCTGGTGGACGGTGACTAGCGATGGGATCCAATGGGAGGCGCATTTCGTCCTATTAAGGACTCGTCACTGGATGTACCTGCATTCTCCAGTGGGTGATAATGTTCTCACCGAGGCTCGTACCCAGTGCACACCATTTGAATCGAGAAAGCGTTATCCAATAGACCACTTGCACCACCAGAGCCACCTCCTGTGAAATGGGTCATGTTAATTATTCAATCCAATTTTAGATTTTCCCGTCATATGATTGCACGGAAGTGCTCGGGCTGCGGTTGACATGGGGGGAATGTTCTTCTGTCTATTATCAAGAGATGCATAGCGAATAATCCTCTTTCAACTAATAATCCATAAACGTTCCGGTCAATCACGTCTCATAAACCGTTAATGCCCAGCTCTCGCTACGCTCGGGCCCACGCTGTTCCTTGAAGATTTCAGAAACGCTTAGTTATTACGGACGAAAAAACCAAAACACCGATCTGCCGCTTGATATTTCTTTATGGTTACACCAACATATAAAAAGAATAAGTGAACTAAGGTCTGAAAACAAATATTACAATAATAAATCATAAGATTACTTCTGACGATGTTTCACTCTTCTTTCTGAACAGCTACCGATGAGACGATGACTGTCGTATTGATGCCTCCGCGAAAATTGGGGAAGTTGATTTTGAGCAAACAACCATGAATTGATCGTTCAATATTCAACTACATTGACACTCCCCGGCAAAAAATGGATCCAACCCTTTTTTCCTTCACGACCAATGCGCGTTAACTTGGATGCCATTGCGAGAACCTGGGTCACACGGACAGAGCTGAAATGGAAAACAAACAAAAAAGCCAACACACCACAAGCATACCCACAGCACAATCTCACACACCAATGACGACCTGCACCTCCAGACAGAGACCTCCACTTGACATCTTGCAACACAATCGCCGCTTGCTAGAATGACTCTTGCAGCATGCAACGTGACCATAGCAGCACCTCATGATACTCTACGCACATCCTCTTATCTACTCACTACCAATTACCACTGAAATCGCTTGTCACTCATTCTGCTTCAATTCTAGTAACGGTGACGTATGCGGGCCTCAGTTGTCTACGCTTCCGCTCCCCGGCGTGTGGGACCACAGCTAACAATTAACTCCGTGTGCATTTCATTCTCAGCGATAGCCTGGACTCCCCGGCGTATACGACCCATCTGCTGTTCTTAGCATCAATCAATTCATTCACGGATGTAGAAGACTAGAAACAACTTCAGAAGTAATCACGACGAAAATTTCAACAAAATTATGTAATAACAACAAGGTACGAAAACAACGAGTAAACACAATGAATCCGAAATACACCAATTGCTATGACACACCACACGTATATACAAATAGTACAAACAACCTCGCCGATCATGTCTTGGTGGAATTCCTTTGAAGAATCTCAGGACTTACACCAGTACGCCTACAACCCTTCTCAGGTTGACGATTGTAATTTGTGGAATGTACGGACACAAACAAGATTAACCAACAATTACATCAATTGGAACTCACACAATTATTTAACACAAACATATGTACAATCAACACATCAAATGTTGTGTATTCTGGCACGGCAAACTACCCTTGAAGAACTGTAGGACTTACAGCAGTACGCCTACAACCCTTCTCAGGTTGACGCTCTAGGTTGGAAAATCGTCGCAGAGTTCATTTGCTGACTTCCCTCTATCAGCTATATCCTCAAATCTGAACGGCAACACGCCCATGTCATTGTATCGTAGAATATAGATGACCAACAAACACACGACATATCTCATCAACCAAGTGTAGAGACAGAGTAATTTACACCAAAGATAATAACATTCAAATAGTAACTTGAAACTAGAAATGCCTTTATTCGTGCAAGTCAATTTGACAATTACTCTCTCGTTTACACTTGGCTTATCCTCACCAAACTGACCATTGATATTCGTCCTTTCAAACGAACTGATACTACCATAGTCATTGCACAAGATACTTGAGTTCATGGGTGTCTGTTTCATTGTGGATGACAGCACCAACGACGACTGATTGATATCAGTTGATGAAGTTAGCAGTGGATCAAAAGCTGTTGTTGCTCGACTTTCAGAAATTTGTCTACCTGCAAGACCACCACCACTGCTGTCTTATAATATCAGCTCAGGTTTAGCACTAGCATCTGATGATAGGTGGGCTACATGCTGATCACTCACACTGACGGTCTCACAAATATCCATAACTTCTGCAACTGCATCTGCATTTATTTCTACTTCACGTTCAAGTTGTACAGAAACTTTGTTCAACTTAGCAGTAGTAGGCATATCCCTCATCTCATCATAATCAACCGGAGACAAATCTGCACTATCATGATCATTATCACGAATATTCACTTTACCGTCAACTTCATCATTTTCGAACTCTTTAATAACAGAAGTAGACAATTTTGGTTCCTCCTCACAAATCATTAAAGGTTTTATAACTTCACTCTGACTAGTAATACCTTGTAAACTTGTGGAGTCAGAACTGCACTCTGAAGCAGTAACTCTATTCTGTGACGCTCTATTCAACAACGGCTTACCAGTTGCAACTACAGACTTCTTCACAACACCGTTAACGTCACACAATTCGGAGTCAGACCTGGAGTTTACATTTAGCTTATCACTGAACTTGCTCACTGGTTCACAGTTCACCTTTGTATGAACTTCTTGAAAACGTGTAAAACACAACCGTGCTTGTCTTGCTATTACTTCTAGTATAAAACTCGAGTTGAGGTCACTCATGCGATTCATCGAAATCATTCCATTCTTGTAAATTAGCAAATTATCTAAAAACTCAGTGAGTGCCTTGGAGTCATCCTGTAATTGACCACCATTACCCTTAACAGCCTCGAATAATTTCCCTAAAATCATCCAAGGTCTTCCAAACCTTTGACGTAATATGCTCATAGCCTCGTAGTAGCCCTCTTTCGGCTTCATAAACTTACAGCACTGTATAGCTCTTGAAGCATCTTCAGTGCAATACCTCATCAAATACATCAATTTCAATTCATCACTTAATAAAAAACTACTCAGCATGATCTCAAACTCCTCTACAAATTGTAAATAACCAGCCGGGTTTCAATCGAAACACCGTGGTTCAAATTTAGGGAGTTTGATGTTCCTGTTATCCCTGAACGGCGAAACAGTAACATCAACCATGTCATGCTTAACATCAGACACATCGTTACAAGTAACAGACAAGTCACCACGACTTACTTTCCTGTTTGCATCCAAGACACTCTGACCCTTCTTTGACCTAGGCATTGTTGAACTTGACCAAATTCCAAAAAAGTTCCAGATATTGCTTGTTCAAAGAGGACTTGACCGGCACCAGGAAAAATAAACGGTGACTATCCAAACTTTCACCAACTGTTTGAATCCGCCAGAT